GCAATTGCTCCTAAGACCAAGCAAAAACACCAAAAAAAAACACTCTTCCCCCAAAAAAGAACCAGATATTTTCGGAGCCAATGCTGACTAGCTGCACAATCTACGGAATTGCTGCACGAAGCTACACCAAGCAAAACAGAAAAAAATACCAAAAAACGGAAAAAAGACCGAACAAAAACGGTGACCTGGTGGAATCTGCAGTGTGTCTATTGCTTGATGTGGGGTCTGATGCTGTCTTCGCGGCGACGATAGCGTTTGGAGCTGCGACATTATCCGGGTTTCAGATTGGAAGCAAAGGTGCGGCGGAACCGGAAGATTTCCACATGCTCGCGCAATCCTCGCAGTCCTGACCTGAGTTTCAGCAGAGCACTACATATGACCCACATTTTCGACACGACGCAATCGCGGTTCTTGTCTTCCTGGCCGGATTGCCCACGAAATCAGTGCTAGGGCTGCTAGGGTGGTGCGGACTGTTTGCTCAATGCAGGCCCACTGCGGAGATGTCTGTGACAACCAGCCAGGCAGCTGACAAGAAGGCAGCTGCAATTTCAGCCAGGGGTCGTATCCGGAGCCAGAGCTATGATGCAGCCTGCAAGGAGGCAGAAAGCTGGTTGAGCAGGCTCGGGGTTTCGTTCCCACTCCTTCCGTGCTCGTGGCAGCTGACCAGGCTTGGTGGCACTGGGACCGCGATGGTCGCCCCCTCCTCACAGACTAGGTGACTAGGCCAGGGTCCAGAGGGGTGTGATCAGGGAGTCTGTTTCTGCCTAGGTCTTGTCCGTCTCCTTGCTGCCGGCTCTGCTCTTGAGTGCCTACAAGCGCATGCTTGAAGCTCGGAGGGCTGCCTTTATGAGGTCTAGGACCTCTAGGAAGCTCAGAATGTTAGGCAGGAGAACGACAGCTTGGGCGGATTCCTCGCGTCACTGCCTTTCGACCATCCCAGCTGGAAGGTCGGCGGCCCTTTGAGCACTGTGCATGCGCTGCAGATTCGCCAGATCTCTCTAGGATTCGTCAGCTTCTTCAGTTTCAGGCAGACGACGGCAGCGACAGCGACAGCAATGAGATTGGTTGACAAGTTGCACAGTGATACCCGCACCTCAAAGCTGTGGGCTGCGGAATTTACTACGTCTTCCTCGCTGGATCATCCAGCTGGTGTGGCCGCTGCATGGGCGAAAAATCCAGCAGACTTCGCCCGACTTGCCCTCTTACCTGCGAAGTGCCCAGAGGGTAGCTGTTCTGCCAGGATCTGTACAACGGCATTGAGCTAGACGATAGCAGCTTCGTGTTTTCCCTAGAGGTTCGGCACTGAAGCACCGTGCGCACCGGATCTGTAGCTTCCAGCTTTGAGCAGAGCCAGGCAGATGACGTGGCGCCGCAGACACCGGCTGCGTGGAGGCACATGCTGCGGACATCACGTCGACCCTTGACCATCATCAGAGCAAATACTCGCGCTCAGGGCCAGACCTTTGAAAATTCACCCGGAACCTCCGCCGATCAACCAGCGAAAGGACGCAGAACTGCTTTGCAGATGCTTCTTTCCGTCCTTGTGACAAGAACCTCTCTGGCTTCCGTCTCATGCTTTTTCACAATGCAGTAGCCCTTCTCGTGATTTTACACGCTGCAGGGTGGCAGCCATGGTCTCACTCAAATCTTTACAGGCCCCTGGACACCTGTGGATTCCGAAATCTCTGTGCGGGCGCGCCGAGCCTGTTCGACCCCCCGCTGTGGCTTCCTAGGATTCCCCTCCAAGTCCTGCTGTTTTTATGGCAGCTTTGGTGTGATGCTCCGGCTCGGTTTCCCATTGCGCAGGATCCCGGATCCGGCACTCCGACTCGAAGCGGCGCGGCGACGGTCGATGCCAGCACAGGCCAGCACGCATAAATACGGCTAAAAAGGGGGGGGGGGCGGGGGTGGCCTGGAGCCTGGCCAGGAAACAACACGCCCACCGGAGGCTGGGCTTGTGGGGCTTGGCTCGATTCTGATGCACGGCTCCGGCTAATCACGCTGACAGGTCGCACTCCTCGCCGTGGCCTCAAACCGTGGGGGAGATTTGACTGCAGCTTCGATCAGTGCAAAAGCCCTTCTTGCGAGGACAGAAGGCCTCCACGCCGCCGAAGCTGGAGACGCCGCCGCCCAAGGACCTGCCGCCCCTAGCGGTGTCCTCAAGGCCAGTCGAGCCTCGAGCCAAGAGCCCCTCAGACTGCTTGCAGACTCCTTTTGCAGGGTGGAGCCTTCCACCATGGAGATGGAGGTGAGCGAGAGAAGAACAACAAGCAGATAAAAGCGCAGCTTCTGTTTAAAGCCACTGTCAGGACTCCGAACCCTCCGACGAGGCTCTGATGGATCCAGGCAGGGCCGGCGGGCCCCAATGCCAAAGTTCAGCGATCTTGGCCCCTGCTGAAACACTGCCTTTAAAGGCAAGACCAGCGCGAAGATCCA